GAACTTAATTCTATTCAAAAGTTGAGTGAATCAATTTTCTCCGCAAATAATGGGCAATACACCCGAGTGGTGAGCTGAATCGCAAGCATCGCTCTGTTTTGTTGCGTGCAATTCCACGTTTATTATTGTTATATTTCAAAATTCGAATAGAATAAAAAAAAATGCAAATAAAATGTTGAGTGCTTATATCATCATCATCATCATCGCAGGAATCATCATATACATTCACTGTGTTTGTTCCTTTTTCATTGGCTCCGAACAACAACGATACATGACGTGTGATTGAATGTGTGAGAGATCGAGAGCCGTGAATAGATGATGCCTAATCTAATTTTGGCTGAATTCATTCACCGCGCGCTTGCGCGCGCATACACAGTCAACGCAGTCGATCGTGTGTATGTCTCGTGCGTCGTCGTGTGTCCAACCAGCAAATGTATCTCGAACAAAAGAGCAATTATTTAATAACTGTGAATGAATGTGTGTCGAGTCGCATAAATTTCATTGAATGATATGTACAATCTATGTTGTGAATCGCGTTGAATTTGTTAATTTGCACAAATTATCAAAACGAATTTATACGCTCACACACATCCATTCACATAGATATTTATAGAGTTGGTTGTTAGCTAGTACCTACATTTTGATTTTTTACCATTGGACTATGAACTTTGCAAATTGATTTGCATGAAAATGTATGCTTACATAAAATGCGACGACAACAACAACAACAACAAAAAAACAATAATTCGTGCAGTACAATAACCGAAGCGGCTCCCCCGCTTTGATTCGGTGCGCTTTTTTGCGTTTTAGTGGAATGTAAGCGATTTTGTAGTGTAGGGTGAACAATTGAAGGGTATAAAAAAAATTGCAACAACTTTATCGTGATTATAAAAATAGCTTGGCATTTTCAATCATATTTTCTTTGACGCTATCAATTCCGAAACGAATCCAATCTTACTGGCACACAAGGGTACTGCGTTTTTTTTTCTTCTTCTTTATCGTAAATTGTTATTACCACGAATCGGGTTTGAGTTTGGTTTTGGAGTGGAATATTTCGAATCAACTCGATTTGAATGGTAAAGAGATTTTTCAAAGTAAAAGAGATTGCACAGTCTTTTCTTCACAGATACCTTCTATAGAAACCGTATAAGGTCCACACAATTGGGAATAGAGAAAGTGAAAAAAGAAGGTTCAAAGAGAACGAATGATGAAGCTGTCATACTCATCGAGAGTATTATTTTTTCATTTTTTCTGCTTTCCTCTCTCTCTCTCTCTCTCTCTCTCTCTCTCCATTTCTCTATTTCTTCTGAATGGCAGCTCTTTGATACTTGACCAATGTAGAAGAAGAAGAGGAATGAATAATTGAAGATAAAAAAAAGAATATCAAAAAAGAAGTTGAAAGGAAAAGAGATTAAAAATGACGTTAAAATGAATGTATTCAATTGTTTGGTTCAGGCGAATTCAAAGCAAGCCAATTGCTGCTAGCAAAATGTAATAGCTAAAAATATCCAAAAGCTTGTGAATGGTCAAAGTAGCGAAATCATTGGAGAAAACAGATGAACATATTAGTTCATATCATATAATTGTTGTTATGAATTGAACGGATAATTCCTACGGCGCACATTTGCCAAACCATTTTTGGTTTGATTTGACGAACCGAAATCATTCATTCGATGAATATTAAATGACACACAAACTAAATAGTTTATTAATAATTAGAAAAAATGAATTATGAACTTTGTGAATAAACGACGTTCCGTGGCACGCGATGAAATCCACGACACATATCTATTTTTTTCGTTCGTTCGTTCGTTTGTCCATTGGTTGTACACTTTCTATCCAATTTAGCTAATTTTTATGCCGACAGAGAGTTTATTGATTCGGTTGCATGTGAGTGTGTGTGTGTGTGTGTGTGTTTGGTCTGAGCTGTGAGTAAGCAACAAATAGAGCTGCTATACATTTTGTTTAATTTGCATTTATTTGATGGCAATTTCTGGCAAACCATATCTAATACACACATATGGAATCCTCGGGCCACGAGACCCGTGCACACATGATAAAACCTTAATGACTATGGATTTGTGTTGACGAGTGTGTGAGTTGTGTTTAATTTAGCAGTGAACTTGAACTGTTTGTACGATTTTGTCATCTGACACATAGCGCATGATGTCGATATTTACCGACTTAAAAAGAATATCAACGGTGCCAAACGTTAAAACAATGAAACGCATTGTAACTATTTTTTGCAAATTTCATCAATATTACCCTTGTCATATTTGTGTGCTTTGCTCTCGACTGAGACGAATCGATGAATGAAAGACGTAACACTGTCGAATAATTGCGATTATTTGCGCATATTTTCATTGTTCTGTGTTTAGTTATCAATCTTCCTGTGTGTGTGTGTGTGTGTGTGTGTGTGTGTGTGTGTGATCGAAGACATGAATCGAATGCCCTTCATCACTTTCGATTAAATAGAGTCCATTTTTTTCTCTTTGAATTCGTATTGTGCTGGTCGCTACAAAAATGTACATACAACAAACACACGAGTTGTAAATAGTTTTGTCGACAACGTCTCGTGACCAATACACTTGAGAGAAGCAAGAAAAAAAAGAACGTCCATCGGAACGATAACGTTTGTGCAAATGGCATGGCATTGTGTAGTAATGAAATGTGAAAATGCGCATTTATAGTTTGCCGAATGTGTGTGCCTGATAAATATTTGGACTTTTATTAGTTCCGCCACAAAAATGCAAAACAACAACAGCCCGCCCGCGGAAATGAGACAGTGTAAAAGAAAACATAGGCATTTTATGGTTCTATTTTTTTGATCGCATGGAAAACTTTCGACTGTATTTTTGCCTTCTTCATTCAACATGGAGACGGAGTGGTAATGAATAGGGGGAGCGCGAATGATTGAGTCAGAGAGAAGAAAAAGAAGAAGAAAAAAGAAACAGTGTCAACGCTCATTCGATTGAGTCATAGACGACGAATACAGTGGAAACGAAAATGAAGTTCAAGTTCTAGCGCAAACACGGGCAGCACCCGACACACTGGTCCCCATTCAATTTCGCCGAATTACTACTATATTTATTCAAATTAACGAAGCGACAACAAGTATGCCTCTGTATGAATCATTTGGCTCTTAAACCATTGTACAAAAGCATGCGCACTCACGCGTTGCCGACACACCATTTCGAGGGAAAAAAGGAGTAAGCGGAAAAAGTATGGAAAAAAACCATACTAATGGTGTGATTAAGGATAATCAAACGCGCATACATATCAATATTTGTTTTCAGCGAATACAGTGCACAAGTTTTCAGTGTTTTTGTTTTCATTTGCAAATACACAATTAACATGAAAATCGAGCAGTTGCTTAGTTGGCTACTTGAGATATTGTCAAACGAATTCAAATTCGATTGGAATTTCATCGAACATTGATTGCAATGATTAATTGGTTTCGATAACTCCATGTGAATCATTTTCACGAGAAAGCCAAGCGAAGCAGAGGAAAAGAAGAGTCAAAAAGAGGCAGTTTGTACACGCGATTCGAATTGATGATATAACTGATAATCGGTTCGACTAATTGTTGTTATTTGTGAGTCAATCGCCGATTGATTCACTTCGTATTTGAGCCGCTCACATTGGACATATGACGTAAACTATGACTAAATTTTTTATCATTTGTTGCGTTTAACACCTTTTATTCCTCTCCCTATCTATCTGTTAATGCAGAATTTCTTATCAGATTCTATTTGTTTTGCCTTGAAGTTTGGGCCGCCCGCTTATTCAACGTAATTCAGTCGGTTGATAAGCTTTTGTAAACAAACCCCGTTCGTTTGTTTTTCGTGATGGGAATAGAATAGAATGACGATATCGAGAGAAAAAATGGACACAGTGGCACGATAAGGTGGTGAGAAGAGTGAGAAAAGTCCCAATGCGAAAATTTTACCATTTATTATCAGTAATTCGGCCACAATATGTCACCCTCAAAAATCATTTTATTGATTTGTCTATCGTTGAACTTGAAAACACACATATGACGTCAATTTCCGTTTCGTTAGACACAGCCAGAAGTGGAAAAAAAGATCATTAATTAAAATCATCATATCGAAAATGAAGCGAAATTGAATGTGATTAGAATGTTTGTCAATCGATTTGATGGCGTTGAATCGGGGTCCGAATGTTACGCTGCTCGTAATGATCTCATTCGCTCTCGTCGAGCGAAATATGCGTCAATTGCATTCACAACGTAGATGTAAACAAATCGGTGACGGTGATCGAAAAAAATCTGATTATGACGACTAGGTATAATTGGAGAATGCAATTGACAAAAGCTAACGTTTATCGAGCGGCCAGCTCGCTCGACCCATTCTTTACAGCGGAAATATTCATGAAACGGATTTTGGGTGCACGATAGATAGTGAAACGAAAGCAGCGAAGAGAGAGAAAAATAAATAAATATGCAGTGATTGATACGTTTTGTTGTTGTTCAGAGAGCGGGTGTATTCAACAAATTGCTGTGTACACGGTGATATTTAATTTTGTTTTTGCTGTGCCGTGGCTATTGTTGTTCGCGTATACATAATATTGAGTTCCTAATTTAACGAATGTTGCCTTATTGCATCATGCACGAAGTCATTCGGTGAAAGTGCGCTTGCGCTCAACTTTCATCCAAGGCAAAGTCCGAAAAAAAATCACAAGAAAAATTCAACGAGTATGCTCTGCGCACGCCGATCGGTACACTCATTCGCATATGCACTAGCTATTTTGTGGTTGTTGTTGCGCGGAAAACGAAAAATAGAACTAATTGACCAACACACAGAGTAATGGCCTGTAATGATCGAACATGTGCCAAGTTTGAATGCAAAAGAGAATGACTTTTCTCATTTTGTCATGGGTTAATTTGGGGACAATGAGCACGGATTGATCCATTTACATGCGATTTTATGTTGTATTGTGTGCTTAAAATGAACAAGATATAAAAAAGAAATGGTACTTACCGTTGACGCGAGTGGCGTCTTCCCATTTTGAATATGATGCAAGCTCATTTTGAGGTCGATGTGCAGACGCGCTACGTTGACTGAATTCCCCGCGTTTCCGTTTTCGTAATTTTCTTCTGCTTTACTTTTCTTTGATCAAAAACACAGCAATTTGGACGTTATCAAAATTCGGTACTGCCTTAAGTTTCACCTGGTGCAATGTCAGGCGTTATTGTACTCTGAGTTATCGATGGATATGATCGACCAGCGATCTGCTTTCCATGAATTATTGTCACTTGGTATTGGTATTGAATTTCACACTTAATCCGAAATTTCCAATCGTCGGTTTTTCTTTCTTCGCTCTCAGTTAAAATGAAAAAAAAGGACACAATCAAATTCAAAAAGTTTATTCTAATCCAGTGGATATGACTTGAGTCGATATAGAATCGATGATTTTTTTCGCAAAAACAAATGAAATTTTTCTAAAAAATTTCCCACTGTATTTTAATGTACGAATTCCAAACTTTGGTGCATTATTTATGAGTGGTTGATTCTTCTTTATTCCATTAATGTAGCGTTTTGATTTGTTTCTTCTTCTGTTATTTCACAACAATCGACAGACGTGTTGAAATCATTTAAACCGAAAGAACTTTCGACAGAAAATTGAAAAGGGATCGAAAATTCGTTTTGTTTATTTTTTTTTTTTGGTTTCGGCTTTGGGTTCTGTTTGATTTTAGCGTCCGTTGTTGTTGCCAGTCAAATACTGAATGTGCACAACTGTGCCAACCGAGTAGCGATTCAATGTGGATATATGCTTTTCGTGTGTAGCGTTCGCGCGTTAGGTTTATATATATTTTTTTGTTCTGCTACTATTCCTTCACTCTCTCGTCGTCGGTGTATGAAATTTGTCGTGCGAAAAAAAAGCACGCACACATTGAAACGGGCCACAACGCGCCACCGTTTCAAATACGAAACAACAATTTTCCCGATGCTTTTGCTTTGGCAACCGCACCGTTTACACTTGCTTATTTATTTATTTTTTCTCATTCGTTCTCTGTCTTTCTCTATATGAACGTAATTGTCTATAGTCACGACAAATACACATATGGCGTTGATTGTTGGGCTGTTCTAGCCCGAACTATGTGGTTATTTCTATAACACACCGACGCTTTGTGCTATGCTCTCACATGCTCTTGCTCTTGCTCTCTCACTCACTTTGGCGGAGTGCGCACTGTCACTGGCTCCCTTGCACCCACGCATTCACTTCCCGTACGTTAGGCGTTGTGGTTACATTCGATATAGCCTGACTTACACGCGTGCAAGTGGTAAAATCGGGCCAAATCACGTGTAAACGGAAAAGAATAAATATAAACAGATTATCTTGGAAATGTGTACACAATAATAAGTGAGCACAGTGTGTTCGCACTCTAGAACCCGTTCTGATTTGAGTAAACAAAATTCCGTCGCAGCGGCATGGAGTGTGTGTGTGTGTGTGTGCAAAAGAGCATCCATGCCCTTGAGTGAACGGCACAAAAAATCCATTTTCATGATCAAGTATCACAAAACAAGACAACACGCTTACTCCTACTTGGCCGCAAAATGTCGACTCACCGATTACCTTCCACGAATTCGGTTGTTGCATTTTCGCTCCATTGGCTGTGTTGTAACTAACTTATGTACGGTCATTTGATACATCACCACCGCAGACAAATCGCATGAAATGACACCAAGTGGGAGCAAGCAATGTGATCGATTCAGCACCTTAACTAATCGTTAGAATATGGCATTTGTTTACACATAATCGCATATGATCGAATTGTTTGGCTTTTGCATGGCCTTTAGCATCGTTTCCTTGCATCAACGTTATTGTGTTCAAACAATTTTCACTGATATTTTTAGTGCATTAATTGCTTTTTGTGTTTTTCAACTTCTTGATGTGCCATTTTATTCTTCGAACCAGTGCTGCTAGGAATAAAAAAGGAAATATCGCTTGAAACGAATCGTTTCAGCAAATGAAAAACAAAACAAAAAATGCAAAAAAATTGGAACCATAAACGAATTCCATGAATAAAAAAATTCGTTTGCATGAAAGAAATTTATCATCAATTATCCGGTACCAACAGGTAACGGAAACGCGCAAAATTCTACAGTGTTCCGTTTCATGTAACGGCAAAAAATTGCCCTCTGCTATTTATATATATATTTGTCATTTGAAAGTGTATTTGCTAAATGAGGCGATGATTGGTTTTGTGTGCATTTGTACTTTCTTGAACTTGACTCAGCTTGAAATTAGCAATCCGCTAGAAAAAAAAGTCGATTCAATTGGAAAATAACAACAATCCTCGTGCCGAACATTCGCAAAACGGAAACAACAACAAAATTCCATTGTCTGACGTATTTAAACGGAGTGCGGACGGAAGTTGTGTTTTCCATCAAATGCCTCAAAATAATACGAATAATCAAAATAGTTTGTCCCGAATGGGGAGATGTGCCGTTCACGGAACAACGGTACACGTGCGGATATAGATATATTGCATGGAAATCGAGTACGATGGTTATGTTGATTCGACATTGGCATTTGTACGGAACAAAAAAGGAGGAGAAGAAGAAGAAGAAAAAATTCCATGCCATTTGCACAATGGCCCATAGAGGCCACAATACACGAACCGAACAGAAAAAAGAAACACCACCACACACAAAACCGTATCAGTCATCGTATTATATTTCTTAATGCAATAAATAAAAGCTAATGAGAACATTTTTACATATTGAATTTCTCTCAAGTCATCAGGAAATTGGATAAACATTAACGTTGTATGTGATGGGTGTCTGTGTGGCCGCATTGGTCGTGCTGTTTTATGCACTATGGCAATGCTGCTGCTACTGTATTGGGCTTGGTAATTTGTTGTTGTTAGCCTGCCAAAGCATGATGTTTAATCGATTTCCAACGATTTTTCGGTTCGCATTGACTGAATGTTGATATTGAAATTATGCCGAGAGACATTGCAAGGATACACGGCTACAACGACGTTTGTTTTCTTTGTTATTATTACTTTAGTTTTCGTTATTCTTCTTCTTCTTGTCACATTTATGCTGTATACACGCTTTTCGTATACATTGTTTGCATTGTTTCGTCATGCAATACAGATGATCGAGTTGACTGTGCAATAATTTCCAGAATGAAAAGAATAAAAAAAAAGCGCACACACATTTTCACGTAGTCAGCCGGTCCGGTGGAATTGTGGCGCATATTTTCGCGCGTATACTATTTAATCATTGTGTTAGCATAATTCCAGTAGTAGTACTCGAATAATTATTGGCATTGTGTCCGCACCAATTCCTCATCAGTCTTGACTTATTGCCTATTTTTAGCGTGCGATTTTCTTTTCAATTCGTTTCATTTCGGAGACGACATTAGTTTCTCGTGTGAAACGCTGACGTATGCGCGCCTCCAACTCTAATTGTTACGTCAATATCTCTGTCCGCGCCATTCAAGGGAGCGGAATCGTAAGAAGAAAAAAAAACAGAAGAAACGAATAGCAAATCAGATGACTTGATTGTTTATTCGTTCGGATAGTCATGCTTTTGTGTTGATTGCTTCTTCTTTATTTTCGTTCATACTTTCTGTCGCCTCTTATCATTTCTTCCTTTTCGTTTCGGATCTCGCGTCGTTCACAGTGCACATGCACACACTGTCAAATGCTATTGATTTTCTTCCATTCAGCTACTTCAAAATCGTCGGTTGATGCTCAATTTTTTATTTCTCTCCATCTCTTTTGCACGCGTGTCGTTCCTGGAATCGATCTATTTTGCACACGTTCGCGCTCGATTCTGATTGTTGAGAATGAATTAGTCGCATGTGCCGTGCACATTGTTCCAAACGCTCGGCTCGATTCATCCGCTACATGTAGATTCGATTAACGCAAACTGAATCAATTGAGTAAATATATTCATCAATATTTTTGCATATATTTATGCAGATGCTATGTACGATGTGCTACGACCCATTTCTTAGTAATACGTAATACTCAATTTTCTTCGTTTCATCGTGACAACGGAAAATCGCTTATTTCCAGTTGTGACAAAGTGGACGGGATAAATCATAGAAATTATTAGTTGAACAATGCGACGTAGAATAGTGACTATTGAAAGGAAACTATTCGCTTAGCGCATAAGGATAAACCGAATGATAACAGTAACTTGCGGCGGATCCATTTTCAATTACAGCGACAGCGAGTAGAAAAGAGAATAATTGCCGTTCATTTCTTGTTAATAGTAGCAAACACAACTGCTATTTGAATTGCAAATGAATGGAAGATTATTTGTCAGCATTGCACATTACCATTGTCAATTCATTGATCACAATTTATTCAATGTGTCGTTGTTTTTTTACTCCTCTTTCAAATGACCATTGTTATTCATCTTTTGCCAGATATCATCCATAGTTTGCTCTTGACTTTCCATGCGTCATCTCAAGGTGCGAGATGGTTATTACAATGCAATGTTTACGTTTTTATTTTAGAAAAAACAAAATTAGACGCATTTCTTCTTCAAAACATCGAACTACGCCAAAATTTGAGCCAAAAATAAATTCGATCATCACCGAAATTTCCATTCAAATTCAAATCAAATAGTCTATTGTTAGCACGCCATAAAAGTCGCTAGAAAAAAAAAACAATCCACAAAGCTAACAATTGCTTTGTAATAATTGGAAGATCCGAAACAAAACAAAATTAGTCGGTTGTTTTTCATTGAAAATGTTGTTTTTATTTTTGAGTTTGTTCTTTTTTTACGTTTTTCCCATTTTTTTATCGCCACTTTTTCTCTTTCTTTCTTACGTCCAATTTTCTTCGCTTGAATATATGAAATCCGATAAGAGCTGAAAAAAAAGAAAAAAAAGCCGCTGTTGTGATTTTAAAAAAAAAACGCAATTTGAGCTTAATTTCATTCCTTGTTTGCAACTTTTCTTTGTATATGTGTGTGTGTTTGTGTGCAAGAGTTTTTTTTTTCAGTTCAGTGGTGATTTGGAATATGATTTCATAGTATGGATTCATGATATAGGGGCTTCTGTTTGGAACACACCAAACCGTACAGCGATAATTTGCGACTATGAAATCGGTTAACTTTTCAATTCTATGGGCGCTGCCATATTGAAAATTTACGTGCGATATGGTGCACGCACTCAATAGTTCCACTTGAGCGCTGCCACATCGTCATTGACATCGAGTCAAATATTGTCAAATATAATAACATTGTTTATATAGGCTTTTATCGCAGTACGCACCAAACACATCGTGTGTAGTTTCGCAAAAGTAACAGCTTATTTGCATGTATTCATTTCCATTGCATCACCGTTTGTTGACAATAGCAACTCGTGCATACCGTATATACTCAACAGCACATTTTAGTGCACATTCTTAATATTACATTCTCATTTCTGTTCTATATTATTCGCAAACGACTGCGTCCCTCTCCCCGTTTGCCCGTCGAACGTTCGAACAACGTTCTGATGGTGCACGCAAACGGAAGCCCATTATCGATCCATATGCAGAAAATTTCGCAAACTCACTGATTAAACACGATTAAATCGCATATTTTCCGTGTAGATTGGCGATATTACATAAGAAGTCTGTATTGGAAAACAATTTGCTTCTGCAACAGCTGATCCAAATTGGTATTTGCATTGTTTCGTCTTTTTGAGGATGATGGAAATGACGCATTGCTTTGTGTGTGTGTGTGTGTGTGTGTGTGTGTGTGTGTGTGTATGCTTTTGGTTTCAGAAAAATCAATGCATTTCAATTTCCAAGACCCATCTATTTCAATTTGTATGATGGATTTTCAATGCAGGAAAATCTAATTGTTTCTAGCTTCATTCGACAATCGCAATGGAAATGATCTGTAAATAATAGACTAATTCGCATACATGTGGAATTTTCTTATTTGCCTAACATGTATTTTATTAATATTTCAAAATATTCATGCAAATGCACGTTTGAACCAGTACAAAGAGGTTCATTCCTCTCTTCTCACATTATTCATACCGTGCCGATTCAATCAACTTTATTTCTTTTCCCTCCAATTGCAATTGTTTATTTATTCGACCTTTGCAATGAAATTTTTTTAGAAATCTATCGAACATTTTTCTTTTGTTTCTTTTCGTTTCCATTCGAATCAATCATTCACAGTTTTCCCATCGTTATGATTGATTTTTAAAGAAACCTAGTTGTTTGAAGCGGTATATTTTGATCGTACACATTTTATGACTTCCATGAAACTGCACTTTAGCACATACAACAAATTGCGAATTAACGCTAATTTCTTACGCTACCCAACGAACAATTGTTAACGCAAATACATCCATTACCAAGCGTATGTAAACGGTTGAATTTGGGCCCGCATTTGGGTGTAGTTTCAGTCATTTTTAACGTCACAATGGAAGTAGAAAAAGAGCAGTAAAAACAAATCAATTAGAATGATATAAAAACGATTATGAATCAATATTCAATATTTTTATAAATAGTGATACTCACCTACAGGAATTATCCTGTACTCTACCTACATCTATATAGACTATAGACTATAGATAGCCATCGATATCTGGTATCGATGATGTCTGGGAGACTAAGACCTCAACCAACTCCAAATAACATACTGTTACATAAATTCTTTTGAAAAATAAAACATAAATTGCGGCTCTATTGATATTAATGAATGTTGAAGTTGACTCGGAATCGAGTTGGATACACGAGGTGTTGACGTGTGAACGCATCATGCAGCCGATGTCCAAAGAGTTCGCAATGCCCTGAAACAAAGAGAAAAAAAACACACACACATTACTATTGCATCAATTTCAATTCAATGAATAACATACCTCTGTACAAGATCAATTTTGCAGCTGAAATGTCACGTTGCCAAACTGTCTTCAGTACTGGAGAGTCGTCAACGGGGTCTTCGGGCACAAATTCATCTGTGTACTCGATGATACCGAGTTCAGCGTCGTGAATGATTACACCTCTGCGCTCTTCAACATTGTCATCCATACCGTTTGCCGCGTTTTGTTGCCAGTTTTTACGGTAGCAAATCACCTTAGACACAAAACCACGGGGTTGATTTGGATTCTGCACTGCTGCTTGTCGCATTGCTCGTCGCTCTGATCGCAACTTCCGCTTGCTCTTTGCCGCTACAATTTTCTCTGGTAGCTTCATTCCATCAGGCCAATCATCTTGATCGGGCATACACCATTCACACACCTTGACACGATCGTTCAATGTACTCAATGGAAATGGTTCGGAACATCTGGCACACAATCGTGATGATCTGGCTTCGTTCACAAATCGTATGACATTGCCTTCCATTTTCTTGAAACTCTTCATCAATTTCCGCACGCCCGGGCATCGAACGTGTTTCTTGATCTGTATTGGTGAATTTGCAGCTGGTTGGGAAGCTCCAATGTTAATGATGCATCGTTTGCGATTTGTCTGTTGAGCAACAACAAAAACATTCAATTTTTTCAAAAGAAACAAAAATTCAATCACAAATTCTTACCAGCATTGCGGCCACCTTGTCACTGACCCGATTGGACTCGATGTAATGATCAAAACTTAAACGTGTGTACTTTTCGGTTGTGTACACTGCAATGGCTTTCTTCATGATGGTGAATCGATGCCGTATGTAGTCACGCCAATTACTTCCTTTTGGTGATGGCATTCGGTCATATCGCGCTCGGTTGTTTCGATCACTCTCTTCGAACTGCCCAAAGGCACGAGTCCATCGCTCTCTCTTTTCCTTACGCACTCCTTCTCCGGTGCAATAATGATACTTCTTGCTGTTGATTGTGAAATTCATCTGTGAGATGGAAACAAAAATCGAACAATAAAAATTAAACAATGAAATGGATTCACATGACACAATCACAATAGAATGCATTCAATCGCTAACATACCTCTTTGCCATTATGAATTCGCTCTTTGTCATTATTAATTCATACCCCAATCAATGCCCAATTCATAGACATAGAAGCCATCAGAGTACCGTTTACGCACCAAACCATCTTCCACTAACTTGTCGACTACGGTTTTCTTCACTGAGTACAGAATCGATGCCGATACACCATCGCTGAGAATATGTTCGAATTTTTTGTTTGCTTTCAACACTCGATTGATTTTCTCCATGTTCAAAATCATATTGAAATAATACGCTTGATTTGATTTTAACGTGACGTCGCTTCCTGAGTGTTGCCGACCATATTCATCACGAGGAATGGTACCGGTTCCGCACATCATATGATACAAAACATCAGCGTCTATTCTCACTGCCTTTCGCGTGTGATGACAGATTGGGATGACCACCAAATTCTTGATGTTTGGTAACGCAATGACTTGCACGATGTTGTCGTGGTGTTGTTCAACCCAGTTGAGGTGTGTTTCGATTTCTGATTGCATGATCAACCACATTGGCAATGATGCAAACCATGTATCTTCGTCTTTGGTGAATTTGGCGATATCATCGTCAGTCGGTCCGCGAATATCTCGAACATAAAGCAGCAATCGATCTCGTTTGGCCAAGCGATCCGCATCACCTCTTGTTGCGTCATATCGTTTCATTGCCCATGACACTGCATTTGCCACATCTCGTTCATCGTATGTGTCCGGTAGGCGGTGGCGTACAAAGCAAATGTGCCGCCCGACGCAGATGCTGTGCCGCCCGACGCAGATGCCCAAAATGTCGCCCCAAAAATTACCTTTATTACTAAAATACAACATTTTTGCTCGCTTCGCTCGCAATTTTGCCGCCCCACGGCAAGTGCCGCCCGACGCAATTGCGTCGTTCGCGTCGTACTTTGCACGCCACCGCCGGTAGGCCACGAATCCGGTTAGTGTAGTTCTGTCTGAATGCCTTCAATCTCAAGAAATACCGCAATCGTTTCTGTGCATGTGTATCCAAATTCGTCTTCACATTACGGCCATATTGTTGGAACAAATATTTCATCATGTTGCCGAAGTAATCATTGTTTGGCCATGCGGAGCGATTCTCGGTGTCCACATTCTCAAAGCAATGCCGGAACCATGGATCCATAATGAAATTTTCTTCCTTGTAGCGCCGCAACACAGCAAAGAAGCAATTTTCGATGATGTGCATTCCATCGCCATCGTCGAAATATTCCCAATTGCCGGTGATGATGGCCTGTTCAGTGGCATCTCTGACTTTGTTGAGGAATAAAAGCGACGCCAATTCAGATATTTCGGTGCATTTTATGCTCGTTTTTGTGATCCATGGCAGAATACGATCACGATATTCCGGTCGAACGATACTAGCGGCGGCCAACTTGATTGCAAAGTATGCTTTCTCCTCCTTTTGCTTGCCATCTTCAACTTTCCGCGGTTTCGACCTATTGCCACGAATGGCATGTGCCCCAATCCTTTTTCTGCCCATTATTGAACCCTGAAAAAATAGAATGAAAACACAAAAATTACTTTAGAACGCACTAGAAATGATTTTTTGTTGCTTCTAAATTACTTAATTTGAATGAAAAACGAAAAAAAACGATCACTGTAAATCGAACAGTATTCACAACAAATGACTTGCCTTTCCAAATGCTCAAATCAATGTGAATGTGCAACCGGCATCAGTTTGACACATCAAGCTGAATTTGGTTGTGACATAAATACTGCACACACGTATCTGCACACTGTGTGTATGTGACAACTCTCTTCAACGCGCTAATTTTCGTGACGAAATTCGGATTTGACTGGTGTCGATGCAGAAACTCATGCGAAATATAATCTCATAACGGAACCAAAATAAACAAATACAACACCAAGCCATAGTAGCGAATGAGTCTGTTGTGTTGTGTGAAATGGAAGAGATGTGTCGGTTCTGCTGTTTCTTTCTAATTCACGCGCCCAAAACGAAATCAATACACAAATCGAATTTTTGTAAGATGTTTATTCAGTTCGTTCGGAACAGAGTTGTTTGGAATGGTTGTCATTTCAAATGTTTGAATTTGAAAGATGCTGGGTAGCGTTCCGAATATTCATACAGTTGGTTTACACTGAAATTTCAGTCGATTTTGACGGAAAAAAAAGACTAAAAACGTTACATCTTTTAACGTTAAAAATGACTAAATTGCGTTACATGAATGTTTCTTACGCTACTTAACCTATTATTTACCAGGTGCTAGAAAATTTGAATATTTTTTTATAAAAAATCGAACGCATGGTAAGTATAAGTTAAGAGCAATCTTAAGCTTAACGTAAGATTCCAAGCAAATCAGCTTCTAGTTGTGCATTCTCTGAGGAATAGAATTCTTTTTAGTTACGCAAAAATATTCATGAGTGAAAATTCATCGGCTCCGATAATATTCTCCGTATCAATCTCAATTTGTAATATCCAATTTTGATTGAAGCATTGATTGTTTTTGCATTTTTCTTTGATCTTCTATTTGAAATAAATAAAAAAAAAATGGAAGAGAAATGGAATTAGACTATTTCCCAGGCGTGTGAAATATGTTCGCGTATGGAAAAATACCAAAAAGAATTAAACACTAGAAAAAATGAAATTTCACTTTGAGTGATAAGAAATATCGTGATATGTTCGAACATTTCTTCTTTCTAGCATTCTAATAAAGGAAGATGTAGAGGACGGTGAAATATTATTGCGGAACTGGAATCTAATATTTCAAAATTGTTGAAGACTTTATGTCAATGATGGTTTGTCCACATATACCAATTTTTCATTATTAAAATAAGGAACAACATGATAAGATGATGTTGTTGATTCGAATTTCAATTTGTAATCATTGTACTGTAACGTATGATCATAAATCGTTATTCAAGTTTCAGTTGATTACGCAGATGAAAAAAGTTTGCCCATAAAAAAGCTTCAACGAATATGAAAATAAGCTTCATTCATACTGTATTTCATTCGATCGGTTACGAACATTGCTTAGCTTGTTTTCGTATTTGACAATCTTTACATGTCTAATGCTGGTGATTGGCCCTAACTGATTGAATCAATTTAGCACTTATCCCATTATTGATGACTATCAAATGGAATAACAGTAAGTAATTGTGTGTCACAAAGTTGGACTACAAGTGACTTTTCGGGTTGATGCTTCCACATACTTTTTTCAGAATGGGAAAGAATTGGATTAGACTTTTTTTCGGCATTTGAAAACAAAAAATTTATTTTGCGGCAAACAGTATTAAATGTTCTGTATGCAACTATACTCGCAAAACTCAGTGGGAGTTGCATTCAACTATGTTACTACTTCCATCACATCGTAGTCAATTCTGTATAGAAACTAAACCAAATTTGTTGACCTACCATGTAATCAACATGTTATTCGGAAAATTGTGAGAGTTAATACACTCGGAGATAATACATACGTGTTCAATCACAAAATGATATGCCATCTATTTGAACGGCTCGTATGCTTAGAGTTTGGAGCATTCAGTGCTTTGATCGATTAGAAACTTTGCTAAGTAGACGTTGAATCAATGTGTTTTTGTTTGTGCTTTTCTATAAGTTTAAAAAGCTTTAAGCTCTTGATTCGAATGCCTCAATTCATTTTGAAAATTGGTGTGATAAAACTTGGACAATTGCAAGACACAACTAGAATTGATCGTCACTTTGAATATGGATCAACGACATGTGCGGCACATGATGTGCCGTCTACTGAAATGGAAAATAATGGCCAACTATCTTAATTTTTGGAGGAGTTAAATTGCCCGTTACTCAATGACACTTCACTTAGTATCATCTAGTGTTCATCAATCATATCAATGTGTGTGTGTGTGTGTTGATCGGATACAGTAAGTGAATTGGTCAATGAGCGAATTTTATTGATCTCAAAACATTAAACTACACTTGAAGTGACACTTCAACTGATGTACGTAATTACAAACTGGATTTTAAAACAATATATTCATGAAAATCCAACGAATGGCATATCCATCACACGAATACACTTTAATGATTCAAGTTCAATCTGATGGATTCGTTGAAATGCTTTCAAATTCATTTCGTTTTCTACGAATTTCGCGAATTCCTATGAAGTGTACAAATTTGATTTCATTCGCGAAGAAAAACCGGAGAAAATAAAAAAAAATCGTTCTCAAGAGATATTAACAAGTTAATTTTGTTCCAAAGTTAGTATCGACAAAGTGGAAAATTTTTCAATTATTTCATTTGTATTAAAAACTGATCATTACGAAAATTGCTTGAATTCAATTCATTGAACTCGTATTCAATACATGTGTACGTCACTTAGATTTCAGACGACTAACTTGTTTCGTGCAAGTCGTTAAATGTGTGATATTTTAAAAAATGTTCGTTTTCATTTGAATGAATTCATTATAATATGATAAAACCGATAGCGATCAGTGGGATCATTTGTAACAAAACCGGTTGTAAATTGAATTCAAAAGCAATCTGTGAATAAATCAGAACTATTTCGATCGTCTCGTGAGTTTCTATCTAAAAACGGATACATGATGTACTAGTGCGAATTGAACCGAAATCATTATGGTATTATTACTTGAGGGGGAAAAAACGATTGCCTTGATCTTACAAGTATGTCTTGAAGAAGCTGTCTTTCTACTCTCATCTCTGGAAATTGACGAATGCAGAAAGTACATTCAGATTAATCAATTCAAAGTGATTCAATCACCCCGTCAAAATGCAATCGAGTGTTGTGCCCACCGTGTTTTCAATGAGTATTGTTGTTCTGCTTAGAGCACTTATGCAAAAAGCCTTCGCGTTGAAGTCCACTCTACAATGTAGGGATTAGCAGGAAATTGGCAAGCGAGAGAGAGAGAGAGAGAGAGAGAGAGAGAGAGAGAGAGAGAGAGAGAGAGAGAGA